AGGCGGTCGTAAAACATCTGTGGCTGTGTCGAGAGTCTTACGGGGGCTCGTCTGAAGAGGGTAGGTTTGCCAAAGGATAGTACAGCTATCGATTTCTCCTACGCTTTCACATAGCTTTGAACACTTGAGTTTAATCTCTATTTTGTATTTGTAATCAATTAAGAATGAGGAACGACTGTACTTCTAACAAGACTTGAACCTTATTCCTCGGTTTAGAGTGAAGGAGCTTTTAACGGGGAGATGAAGCTTTCTGCAGAGCAGCTCTGTGAATATTCGCAAGGTCTGGCTTTAGCAACAGGAGGGGACAACTTCTGTTCTTATGTTAGTTATCTTAAAGCTGAATGGAAAAGATGGACTTTTCAGAAAACACTAAAGCAGTTCATGGCTTATAAACATGTTTCTTTATTTACTGACTGACAGATGGAACCATGAAATGAGTATTTTACAACTCATGTAAGTAGTTTCCTGTATCAAACTGGATTGAGCAATAAATATGCCCTGGTTTGAAGTTCTTGAAACTTTCCTCAGAACTTTTGAGCTATGAAAACTTTGTGCAGTCACAACACATGTAGAAGTGGATGTAACTGCATAAATTGTGAGAGGAGGCCAAAAGCTGTAACTTAAAAATGTAGCATTAAAAGAAACTTCTATTGGAGGATTGGTTAAATGGTTATTTCTATGTTACTTGCTCATATCTTGCTTTTCTCTCCACCCCCCCCGGCCATCTGCTTCTTTTGTTAATCATATATGCAATTTTTCAAGGATCTAAGGCAGGTGACTTCTTGTTGACTTTTAACAGCAAATTAATTGCAGCTGGCAAGTCTGTAGTGGGTGGTGATGTCAGCCCTGGTTCTTTGTACCAACTGGTGCTTCTTCATGATATTTTGTTTACTTTCTGAAACAAGCCATAGAACTTAATAAATTGAGTCAAATAGCCTATTATTGGTGGAAGCAGTCATTGAAATATAAAAGAATTTATTTTTTTTTAAGTACTGGAGGTGAAACAGGATACTAATTGTTGTTAATGTTTGGGAACATGTATTTACTGCAGTATATGTAAAGAGCTCCCCATGCACTGAAACAAAACTCATACTGGACATGAGCATCATAAAAAAAAAAATTTTGCTTTGCCTCCCCAGGTTCCTTAGGAAGAAGCAACTAGAAATAATCTTTTAGGAAAAGTGTTGTACTTAAACTAATATTAATTTGCTGGAAGACAAAATGCCAATTTACAGAGTTCCTGCAAGAAGCCCCTCTGAGGCACAATGTATTACCACTTTGCCGAAGACTGTTTTACAGAATGCCCTCACCAACAGCAAAGAGTCTGGGCAGCAACTGAAATCACAGTTGTCAGAAGAAGAAAAGCATAGTCTACTTTCATGTTCTCAGAGTAAGACTGAGGAACTAAATAGGACCTACGTGATTTCAGCCTGTAAAAGAGTGGATGATACACTGACTACATTTAAACCGGAAGGCAGATTAACACTCCAGAGGAGAACTGGAGCAAGCAAAAAATCAATGTTTAGTAGTGAGCAATTGCATACAAACACAACACAGGGCATGGAAAATATACAAACAGAGAAAAGATTTACTCTGCAGAGGCGTGTGAGGACTAGCTCTGTAGAGAAGAGTAAAATTAATCAGAATACTGTGCCTGGAATAGAAAATAATGACTCTGCTGCACAAGGAAATTACGAGATTGCACTTCCACATAATATTGGTAATAATGATACCCGTGATGTTAAACCAAGCTTTAAGTTAGCTGAGGGTCAGTCAAGTACAAAGTTACAGTGTAACCTGAACAGCAAGAATTCCTTTGGCTTTGTTGATGGTCTGTGTGAAAATGATAGCTGCACACCTTTAAAATACAAGGCAAACACTGCTGACACCAAATTTCAAAATGAAGTTCCTAAATCAGAACAATTAGTTACCTCAAAATATATTAGTAGGCTATCAGGAGAACAACTGAATGAAAAAGGCAATAAAAATAAGCTAACTGGAAAGCAAAGGTTACCACACTTGATAAAACATAACAGTTTGGAAAGACCAAGGACACCAACAAAAGGTTCAACAGAAGAATATAAGCTTACACCAAAGAACAGCAATTCTCAGGATCAACCATTTCTGTCCGCTTCACATAAACAAACACCTCATCTTCAAATTTTAGCCCAAAAGAAAACTAGTGTCTCCAGCTCTCTTTCTGTGAGTAGAAGTTCAAAACCAAAAGAGAATACAGAAGCGCTAGCTGAGAGCAATAGCACTGAGAAAGATGTTTTCAAAGTGGAAAACAGCAAAGTGATTGTGGCTGTGCGTGTACGGCCTTTCAGTAACAGGTTTGTATCCTGGACTTATTTCTGATGCTAATAGTAGCTTTTATAGTGTATGTTGATTCCTGCTTTGTATTTTTTGAATTGTTTAATCATTGACCCAATAAGGATAAATATATACTTTGAAATTAGCTGATATTTCATGCAACATTAAGATAAAGATTTTATTAAGAGGTTGATTTCACTTTATAGACATTTGGGGCTATTTTTTACATATTCATTAGCTGAAGTATTTTGAGCTTGAATACTTTGTTCATCAAACAGGTGGTTTTTTTAACAATGGTTACCAAACTTTTTATTTTCTGTAAGGCAATTGATTGATGTTACTAACTTAAAGCATGTAGGTTATGCTTTTTAATTTTCTTTTTCCACCCCTCCCTTTCAGAGAGAAAAATGAAAACTCACTCCCTGTAATCTCCATGAGTGGTTCAGAGACAACGGTACAAAATCCAGCCACAAACCAAGTTTACAGCTTCAGTTATGACTTCTCTTTCTGGTCTTTTGACAAGTATCATCCTAATTTTGCAAGCCAAGCAATGATTTATAAAACTTTGGCAGTGCCGCTCCTAGAAAGAGCTTTTGAGGGATATAACACTTGTCTTTTTGCTTATGGGCAGACTGGTTCTGGAAAATCATACACGTAAGTTCTCAATAAAAATTGTTGAAATTCTGTGGGAGCCTATTGTTATGCAATGTAAAGTAATGAAAATAAATTGTACGGAATAGATTTCATAGTTATTGAATTGTGTTAAAATTTTTTTGCATATTTAATACAAAATATTTAAAACAATATTTATAGTAATTAAGACAAAGTTAGCTGTAGAATATTTTTATGTATCTGACATGGACATCTTTCTACTTCTAGTGAAGAAAATGAAAATTCTTTCCAGAGATTTTAGTGCTGAAAAACCTTTATTAATGCTGAGAGCTTCTCAGACTCTCCCAGTGCTATTGTTTACCACTGTTAGTTATTTTGTGTGTGAAGTGACATGTTCTAAGGTATATTAAGTTTTTTGGACAAGACCTTTAAGAGATCATTCTAATTATGGTCCTGACTGTTTCAGAACTTTAAATAAATAAAAAAAATCCAGATGTCTGTGGCGCTGCTTATTTGAAATCTAATCTTTACATGAAATAATCTCAGACAAGTAACGTTTTGAGGGTTTATAGCTGATTTTATATACCTTGTTTATATATTTCAGTAGGATGCCTAGTGAACTGTTGTTTCCAAGCATGTATCTATTAAAATTGGTTCTATGAGCTTTATAATTCCCATGAGGTCCTATAGACTTCTGTATACGTAGTTGAGGACCAAAAATGTTTCTGTTCAATTTATCATAATTTTAATGTTTCTATTCAATTTATAATAGATATACTGAGGTAGGATTTTCCTTTTTAAGTGGGAACTCAATTTTTACTGACAAGTTTATTTATCTTGTCCTAAAAGAAAGATGTGCTCGATATTGCAATTGTTATCCTACTTGTAGATTTGTTGTTTGTTTGCTGTTTTTTCTTTCTTTTCTTTTCCTCCACCTTCAGGTAAACAATTACTTACCTTCATGCCTTTGTATTTTAAGCTCAGCTGAAATTAATATCAGTAATAACTGTGTCCTCAGGTCAAGCATATACAACAAATTTCTGTGGACAACTATGTTGTGCAGCTGTGTGTGTGTCTCAACTGTAGCTGAATTAGTCCAGTACACAGGTGTTCTGCAGTACCAGAACTAGACAGGACAAAACTAAGCCAGAGGTGGAGAGCGGCTTAGGTTACTACACTGGCAGTGTGCAGGGAATATAAACTGCATGCATGTTAGGATATCAAATGTCTATAGGTTTACTGTTTCTAGTACAACTTACTCTTCAGTTGTTGTAGGGTTTTCATTTTACTTAGGTTTTCAACCTGTTTTGCAATGGATGAATTAGAAAAGACCTATGGACACCATCTTGTCCAACGCTTCACTCAAGCACCAACTTAGATCAGGTTTATTTCTGTTGCTTATTACTTCTGTATCTTAGAAGCATGGCATTTCAACTTTAGAGCTATGCAATTAATATTGAAACTAGCTATTAGAGAGTTACAAGACTAAACTATCAGTTTTTTGTAACTACAGGATGATGGGATTTGATGAAGACCAAGGAATAATTCCAAGACTTTGTGAAGATCTCTTCACTCAAATAACACAAATGGACACGCAACAGGTGGAATGCTTATGCTATTGACCTTAGATTGAATTATGAGGAAACTGATGCATTTCAGTATTTTGATACCCGTTTCATTCTTTCATTTTATACCTTAGTGCTGATCCAGTTCTTAAAGTCTGTATTCTTTTGCTGATTCAAATCTTGTTTCTGCTAATAGCTGTGATTATCAGTGCTCCCTAAATAGTAAAAATCAACGTTGTTTTGCTCCCTTAATGACAATAATGTAAAAAAAGAAGTGTGGGCATTATATTTTTGATGTGTCACTAGACTAGGATTCTTTCCTTTATATAGCATGTCTTACAAGATAATATTTTTGTAAGGAAAGGTAAAAAGAAATCCTCATGAGTTTCATATTTTCAGTGGAGACATTGAAAATAAACTCAAAAAAAATGACTTTTATCTTTAAACATTGTCAGAGATCAAAGCAAATTACATCTTAATAGTATTCTATTTCAAGTATTCTAGCTCAGTATTCTTGCTGAAAATAATAAAAAAAAACTACCCCACCTCGATTTTTTTTTTTTTAAAGACTTTAAAATTTTAATTGTAAATTATGTTTTGTTTCCTTCTCTGTTTTGAGAGTAGATCTTTATTCGTACATAACTCTGTAACTCTTCTGAGAGGAGGTGGGAATGCTTCATCTGATCACAATGTATTTTGATTTGAATTCCTGTCCTACACCTATGGTGTATGGATTTAAAAACAACAAAGTGGTAATCATTTCCAGAGTGTTTTAATGAAAGGTTACATTCTGTTTCTGTCCCAATTAATTGGTGTAGCAATGGTAAATTTAGAGAATCATAACTGGAGACACAATTAACCTAAAAAATTTAAACTACTAATTTCATGTCTTAAGAAGACCCAAACTGAGAATGCAGGTATGCAGGGGGTTGGTTTGTGGGAATTCTTCAGGTATGTTTATTTTTCTGCCTGACTGTTGTTACGGCTTTTCTATGACTGAATCTCTGGTATGGAATCACTTTTGAGGAACCAACTTGACTACAGTACAACGCCTGAGATTTCAATTGTGCACTTAAAGCTCTCTGTAGTAATAACAGAAATCATAATTTGTGGATAGAAACTATCAATGTCTCTTAAAATTGTGAAAAGGATTAAAAACTTATATGTATGCTCTCTTGGATGAGGAATATCTGATGGAAAACATACTGGTGACAAAGGCTGTTCTTTGTATTCTTTCTATGTTTGTCCACTGACTTGCAGGTCAGTAGACCTTAACATTCAGTTAAGCTTATGCAGGCAAACTTTTCCGTTTTTAACTATGCCAAATTTCTTTATTGCTTTATGCTTGAATTCTTGTCTTTGGATCATAATACCAGTGAGCGTGTAATATTCTGATCCTACAGTAGATTTGATAGTGAGAAATCAGAGAAGGTTATTTATATACTCCCTATTTGGCTAGGGAGTAAAACTTAAAAAATGTAGAACTGCTAGATATGTTTGTTATTCCTTTGCTTATGCATTGTGGATAAGTGATTCTGTTGCTGCAAATTGTCTCAAATCTTGTGTTTGACTTCAGTGTTTTAGGTGGGGTGGGTTTTTTGTTTGTGTGGTTTGTGTTTTGTTTTTTTTTTTTTCCCAATCTCCTTGTCTCTTAAAGAGAATTCCATTTTCTTTAAAGAAATAAGACCTGGATGCCTTCAGAGGAAGGAGATGTGTTTTTTATTAAAGTTTATTGGTTTTTTTATTTGTTTTTTGATAGTTTGTGTGTGTGTTTTTTTTAAATTATATGTAGAATCAAGGTTTATCTTTCCATTAGGTCATTCTGTTCTATGTCAGGATGTTGACAACATCAATCCAAGCCTTCTCTGTTACGTGTATCATGCTGTAGAAGTGCAATCCCTAAGAGAGTGAGACTAGCGCAGGTGCAAACAGAACTATGTTTGCATGTACTAAAAACCAATACTGAAACTTCTGAGGTGGATATCTCTACTTTTTTTTTTTTAAGCTTGACAGCTATCATCTGGGAATGACTGTGGATGGAATCCCAATAAATTATATTCTTAGCGATAGCAGATCCCTGGTTTAGGATATAATTTCTCTTGGACAGTCCTTTCAGTACAAATGCTTGTAATGCTGAATAGCAGTATCTGGTAGTCTAGGTAAATTTTTGAAACAAAGGGTGATAAAAATGTTTTGTGGACTATATTAATAACTTTTATTATTAATTTTATTAGATTTTGTATCATCTTGAAATGAGCTTTTTTGAAGTATACAATGAGAAAATACATGATTTGCTTGTCTTTAAAGCTGAAAGTGGACAGAAGAAACAACCGGTAAGTTGCTCACAGAATCGAATATATACACAATCTCAAAGTAAGGGCACCTATTCTGTAAACAAAAATGCACAAATGACAAGTGATCATTGTTTTGTTATCTAAGTAGCTTAGCTTGTGAATAATGGGATTCAAGTAAAAAAAAATAAATCTCAGTATATGACTTCAAGCAAATTGCTTGGCACTTCAGCAATGCTAAGCAAAAAAAAAACTTGTTGAAATAGAAACAAAAGATTCAGTAGAATCTCTCAAAATTGTTGTTAACATCTCTCCTTATCTGCAAAATGAAGATGATCTTATCAGCCTTCATAAAAAGTCTCTTGGAATATTACTACAGATTATATTAAAAGCCTGCTGTGCAATATAATTTGAGTTATAATCTTGTAATTTAGATGGAGTTCTAAAATGGAAGGATGATAATGTCAGGAGGCTTCCAATAGTGGTTGGACGAGGGGTGGAGGGGGAAGTATTTGCCTAACTGTATTCGATCCCTTGGTCTCATCAGTTCTCAGCACTACTGAAATGTCCATTCGCTTTCTGAAAATATCTGTGTATTGTTTATCTGCTGCCACTGACTCTACATATCTAATTGCAGTCCATGAAAAAAATGTTAATATTAGCAAGGGGAAAATTTTTCTCCACTTTGCTTCCTCTGTGTATTTACATAGCCCAGCTACAGAAAACTACTGCCATGTAAGAGCTTAGCACCAAGTTGGGTAATATCTTTTGGATTCTTTGCCCTGGATTATTTACTGCTTAGAGCCATGGGACTGTCAGGGAGTTATTTTTTCTGTTGGTGTTTTTTTATTTGGTTGGTTTTTGTTTTGGTTTGGTTTTTTTTGTTTGTTTGCAGTTGGTTGGTGGTTTCCCAAGAACTTGGGGGAGTGGGACAGGGAGGGATGGGGAAATCAGTGGCCTGATTAACTAGTTAAGGATCACTAGTTAAACTAGTTTAGCTAGTTTTTAACACTTATGTGTTAGAATATGTAAAATCATAAATTTGTGTTAAGTAGGAGATGTAGGGAAGGAATTTATCCTGTCTGATTTATTAAAAAAAGCGTACTTTCTGTACTTTGACACATTAAGCACTATACTGGCCACTTGTGTGTAAACTGTGAGTATTAGTTTATGATAAAGAAGATATACTGCGTTCAACCTGCTGTTGAAGTAAGTCCTTTATCCTAAACTGGGACTTATGTAGACTTGTTATATAGAAGTAAAGACTATACTGTCCTGTTTATAGTAGGAGTACTTTCATCTGGGTTTTGTTGGTGACTTTGAGCTAAGCTATTTATTCTGGGAACATAATATATTTATGTTGCAGAAAAGCTTTTTTTTTTTTTTTAAATTTATGTAAATACCTTATGTAAGATACCTGTTCTTGCAGTTAGCTCTGTGGGCAATGGCCTGGTGCAGTCAGCTGTGATTTCTCAGGCAGCTGGAAAAATTCAGTTGTAGGTATTTTCCTGAAAATATTGTTCTAGATGATTCATGCTAAGCTTTGTTGATGATAAATGTCATACAGTGTAAATAGATTTTCTCTTAAGATATTCCTAAGTGCTAGGTCTAACTAATGCACTCCTAATAATTTTTCTTTTAAAATTATTCTCACTAGCTTCGTGTAAGAGAACATCCGGTGTTAGGACCATATGTGGAAGGCCTGACAGTGTAAGTCTTAACTGTTCTCGTTTTAATAGATGTATGGTATAATCCTGAAAGAGTGTGTTATTATCTTGAGGCTCTGTGAAAGCTTGTGTACTCACAAGTAAATTAGGCAAGATCTTAGTATCATGTAGTTTTAGAAGAATGTGTACTTATGTCTAGCTCGACATATTTCCTTCAGTGTATTGCTTTAGTGAAAGAAGTGTGTGGAAATCTCAAGACAACTGGAGCTTTCATGGTATATTTGTATTTTGTCCATAATTGGGGAAATGTTTCAGAACTCGGGCAGGAGGGAAAACTGTAGAAAGAAAACAGTCTGAACCCAAACTGTTCTTTTTCCCCCACCTTAGGAATGTTGTCAGTTCTTACTCTGATATCCAGGTAAGAGTTATTTGGTTACTGAAAGGGAATACAAGTGTTTCTGCTGAAAACTATATTCCATGGATGGGAAGAAAATGCTTTACAGACTGCCCAGTAATCTATGGGATTTCAACTGATTTTGTAAAAGGATAATGGAGACTAGTCCTATGTAATGGAGCTAAGTAGATGCATACAGGCAAGTGTCACTCTTCACGTGGTTATCTCTTAAACTTAAGTTTTAATTCCTCCTTTAGTCATTTGGGTTAATAACTTTATTTGCAAATGTTTTAATTTTCAGTTAACTACCCAAGTAGTTTTTGGTCTCACATCCTAACTTTTATCTCTTACAGAGTTGGCTTGAACTAGGAAATAAGCAGAGAGCAACAGCTGCTACAGTAATGAATGACAAGAGCTCTAGATCTCATTCTGTCTTCACCCTTGTCATGACGCAAACCAAGGTATTGCTGGGTGTTTTATGTCTGTTCAAATCGGGTAGTAAAATGTTTTGTGCATTGCCTAGGAAATCGTTGTGAGAATATACTTCAAGAAGATGAGTAAAGCATGGGACATTTTAACATGTCTTTCTACACAGTAAAACTTGTTTTATTTTACATGCTTTGAGTAGATTCTGATGTCTCTGTGCTACATATATATATAGCAGCAATATAAATATGTCTAGACTGGCGGATCTGAGAGTAGTTCCAAGCTTCTGAGTGTGAGTTTTGAGATGTAACTGGAAGCCAAATTGAGGCCAGACCTAATTTTGCGCTGCTACCAACACGTCTTAGCTTCTAAGGTTAGGCTATGTGAGTTGGATAGCTGTGCTGACTTGCTCAGGTGATGAGCTGGGCAATGGTAGGAGATGCAGTTTCTGCTTAGTTTCAACACAGTTCACTGAGTAAATGTTTCCCTGCTTGAGGATGCCTCTCTCACCCATGCGTCTCCAGGATGTAGGGACAACAACTCCTCATCTGACTTACAGATGTGCAAGAGGCAAAACCTCACTTAGTGAGATGAGCCTGAAAACGGAAGTGAAATGGGTAGTGCTCCTCAGAAATGTACAGTCTGTCAATTTTCTCTATTCACAAATAACTTTTTTTTTTGTTCTTGGCTGGTTTACTTTTTCAGCCCAATTTCCTAATCTTCTCCTTCCTTCTTCCCCTCACCATTCTCACCACTAGATTATTTCTTTTCTGTCAGAACTAGTCCTGAGACTTTTCCACTGGCTACTTAGCTGATCTTTGTTGGTCTAAGTCAGTAACAGCTTATTCATTTCCATGGCTATTTGATAGCTGCAATAGTCAAACTTCAGATGCAAACCCATAGTCTGCTAATCTGTTGTGTTTGCAGTTTATGCTTGTACAGTTATTCAACAGCAAACAATTGATACTGTGGTTAAAAGTCTGAACTTGATCTCTTTCAAGGGATGTACGTGAAGGTATCCTGTCAAAAAGTAAATAGAAGTGTCAATTTTTTACATATTTAAAGTGAACAGCTTGTTAGATTTCTGCTTGTCCTCAGGCTTTCTATTTTGATTCGAATATAAACTTCTCCCTTTTTTCCAGGTAGAATTTGTGGATGAAGAGCAATGTGATCGTAGGCTTACCAGTCACATAAATCTAATTGATCTAGCTGGCAGTGAATGCTGCTCAACAGCTCAGACCACTGGAGAAAGGCTGAAGGTAAACCAAGATTAGAAATCTGCAAAAAAGTATCGGCTCCGAAGAATGTCCCTAAACTCTAAAGCCTCCTTACCTACCAGGACTCTTGGGCAGGAACTGTAGTTATAACAGGATATGTAGCCCTTATGCTGTAAGTATTGCGTAGCATTTTGCTAGTGAGGGTGGATGGCCCTAAGAAGCTGTTTTGACTGTGCAGTATGGCAGGTCAGATCTCACTTATGACAGCGCTCTCAGTGCTATGCAGGCCTAATGATCCTTTAAAAGGAATAAGGAGAAAAACTATCTGCATGACTTTCCAAATCATGAATCGCATATTGCACGGAGTTGGGGCTTGCCCCTTTTTTGAGGGGGACTTAAGTAAATAGAGTTTCTAATAAGAGACTTTCTTTCAAGCTGCCTTCATAAGTTTGATGGTTCTTAATGCTGCTTATTTTAAAGCCAGGGTCTCGGTTCTTTCCAAATGAAGATCTTCTAGGCTACTCTTGCATCTTACTGCTGTCTTTTAATCAGTGATGACATTTCATGTGGTACATCTGTACCATATAATGAATAAGCACAATTAAATCTACAGTCAATAACATCACACAAGAAAATATAACTGTATTATTTTTTTTTTTGCTTCGTGTAGGAGGGTGTGAGTATCAATAAATCACTGTTAACCCTTGGAAAGGTTATTTCTGCACTCTCTAAACAATCTCGAAATGGAAGGAAAACTTTCATTCCTTACCGAGAATCTGTCCTTACTTGGTATGTACGCTTCAGAATTTTTTCTATAGAAGTAAAGGCTTTCTCAGATTGTGGATTCCACTTCTATTAAAGGGCATCACTTCCCCTCCTTTCCTCCCTCCCTCTCTCCCAAATGATCCTATGGAGGGAAGAAATTAGCCTGTTGCATCAGGTAAAGAACAAACAGGACCTTGGTTTGTCTTTTTAAGTAGCGAACAATCACTCTCAAATAAGTAGCAAGACCCTAGATATTTTGTATTTAATCTGTTCAGATTGAGAAGTTTAATTTTTCTTTCAATGCGAGGGCCAGGGATTGACTTCTACTCTCCTGTCAAATGAAGGTTGTTAAAGGAAAGTCTTGGTGGAAATTCACAAACTGCTATGATTGCCACAGTAAGTCCAGCTGCCAGCAGTACAGAAGAAACACTCAGCACCCTTCGCTATGCAAAACAAGCTTGTTCAATTATCAACATCGCTAAAGTAAATGAAGATGTGAATGCCAAGCTAATCAGAGGTTAGGCTGATATCTGCAGTCTTTCAGGGCTTTTCATTTGCATGTGTGTTTAACTTCATTGCTGCATAACAGTTGTTACTACTAATGATCTGTTGTGTTGACTGACCAGTTGTCAACTAGGCTAATACAACCTATGATATCTTCCTTTTAATATTATTCTTCCTTATGAACTTTTTTCCCAATGTTAAGATAATATCTTAGACTATATATGAGAACTTGGAATGGGGAAAGGTGTTTCTTGTTAATTAAATAACAGGATAAACTTTCTAGTATCATACTGAAATGTTTCAACCCTATTTTCTGTCTTCATTTCTTATGTGTACTGTGTGTCTGGTTTGTCTAATGTAGAATTGAAAGCTGAAATTCAAAAACTGAAGGCAGCTCAGAAAAGCGCTCTGAACACTGATCCTGAAAAATACAGACGTTATTTGCAGGAAATCACATCTTTGAGGGTAAAATTGCACCAGCAGGAGAGGGACATGGCAGAAATGCAAAGGTCGGGCTGTTGTTAATGTCTTACTTTGAAATAGAAATGGTAAAATGTATATGCTGTAACTCTTCTTCTAACATGTTGTATTATTTAATATATTAAGGGCCTGGAAAGAAAAATTTGAACAAGCAGAAAAAAGAAAATTAGAAGATATAAAAGAATTGCAGGTGCATTTTCTTTCTTCACTGCACTTTCTATAGGAGATAGTACAGAAAATCTAATCAGCAAGCCTTGCGGAAAAATTAGAGTAGTTGTAAGATTTGGTTTCCTTAATGCTATTCTTTTAATGGACTACTGTGATTTCTTAGAAAAATGTAATATAGGTATTTGAATGCACAAAGTAAACTGTGTTTTTATGCAGAACTCTCTTTTATCTAGAAAGCAGGAATTGCATTCAAAATGGACAATCATTTACCAAACCTTGTCAATCTGAATGAAGATCCTCAGCTTTCTGAGGTGCTGTTGTATATGATCAAAGAAGGAGAAACTACAGTTGGAAGGTATATGCCAAATTCAAAACATGATATCCAGCTTTCCGGAGTGCTAATTGCTGATGACCATTGGTATGTAGTATTCTTTTTATACTTGAAGTGAGAGCAGGAAATGTTTGTGGTGTTTTTTTTTTTTTCCTCACCCTTTTCTTTTTGAGTCGGTCTTCATTCTGGCAGTTACAAAATATGGTTTTCTAACCAGGGAAATACTGTTTAGGGATAATCTTTGTCCTGTTCAGTGATTAAGGTAACTTCCTTCTGTTCCCTCTAGAAATCTGTTAACCAAGGTAGTTCAACTTCTTTGTTCAGTTCATTCATGTAGCAAAATTTTCTATTTGTGCAGAAATGCTGGAGAAGGACCTGATCAAATGATGCTGTGTGATAATGCTATTACATTAAGTTTAATGGAAAGGTGAAATGCTTTGACAGTTCTTAATTAAAACTAAAAATAGAGAGCAACTTGGCCATATTGCAGAAATATTGTTTAAAATGCATTCCATGCAATCGATCCTAGACAAAAAGCCATAAGAAACTTGAACTAATCAATTACTAAAAACATGAAAGATGCGAGTATGTTGGGAAATTAAACATTATCAAAGAAATGCTCAGATGATGGAGTATTGTAGTAATTTTTTAGCAGTAGATTCTTCATAAATTTAAATAGTTATTCTCTTCCAAAATGTAGGTGGTCAGTTATTAATTATGTATGTTGTAGCTAAATAGTATGAAGACAAGCCACATCTAGAAAAAAAAAACAAGACACTATCTAAAGCATGAATTTTAGTCTATTAAACAAAATTTGCAGTTAACATGAGCTACTGATATTGCAAATGTTTCTTTTTTTCAGTGTTATAAAAAATACCATTGGCAAAGTGAGTATTATTCCACTTAGAGAAGCAAAGACATATGTAAATGGGAAATGCATTTTAGACCCAACAGTTCTGCATCATGTAAGTAATTGATTTAGTAATAGTAATATGTGCATGTGTGAATTTCCTTGCTTTGTTAATATTACAAGTTCAGGCTGCAGGATTTCTTAGAAGGCTCTGAAACCGTAAATATTTCTCTTCCTCGCTGATTTCTAGCCTCATCTGTTATGTTTTAAGCACTGTAAATTTCCTTAAGTCAAAGTTTTAGAACAAAATTTTTCCCCCTTTCCCAATAGGGTGATCGAGTGATCCTTGGGGGAGACCATTATTTCAGGTTTAATCATCCAGCAGAAGTTCAGAAAGTTAAAAGGCCATCTTGTGGGACTATGTTTTTGCACGATGGTCCAAAAGATTTTGAATTTGCAAAGAATGAACTGCTTATTGCACAGAGAACACAGTAAGTATTGTATCTTCTTGTTCTAAAAATAAATGCAGTTGTTAATGCATCTGTGTGATAAGTTTAAGAAATAAGAAACTGAAGGTTACTAATTATTTCACAGTAAGGCAAAGTTGGAAAATAGCAAGGTTATTGTCAACTCTATTTATAATGGAAATGGAAGTCCCAGACTTATCTGAAATGAATGTATACCTCTAAGGTGTGATCACAATTTAGTCCAGTTGTCAAGAAGTTAGACCGCTATTAAAGAAACACTGAGCTCCAGAGGTTCTCAGAGCAGTGTATCTCTTCAGTTACATTTTTGTCCATGCACATAATGAGTCTGAAATTGACTTTTGATGTTTTAGAGAGATTTAAAACCTGAAAAGCAAATGCCTTAGGAAAATGAGAACCCAAAGTTACAACCTTGGTCTTCTGTGATGGTGGAGAACTTAGTTAGTTGTTAGTTGTGCTTGCTTCATTCTTGGGAGTTATTAAACTGCAATACTTGACTTAAAATTTACTTGTCTGCGTCTTAATGTGGTTTAGTGAGTTTCTATTATAATTCTTAATTTTGTGAAAGATGCATAAGAAAATAAATATGGAAATTAAGTGGACTTTAAAATTCTGGAGTGTCTTCCATCTTTACCAGTGTCTACATTTTCCCTATGAAATAGAAAATATCTAGGTAAAGTATAAAAATTGGTTTTAAAAAGCAAATCAAACACTCATATTATTGCTGTTAAAATTGGAGGCTTCTCACATGATAGAAGAGAAGATTATAATCTCTGTGCAACCTATAAGAGATTAAATACAGTATTCCAAATGTATGATACTTCCACTTGTAGGCTTGAATCAGAAATTGAAGAGGCACGACTCAAAGCCAAGGAAGAAATGATGCAAAGTGTCCAAATTGCAAAAGAGATGGTTCAGCAAGAACTAACCTCACAAAAAGAAGCTTATGAAAGCAAAATAAAATCACTGGAAGCAGAGGTGGTAAGTTGCCATTGAATCATTACATAAAATGTATCAAAATAAAACAGATGCTTTAGTATGGGCTTTCTATTTGTTTGTTGTTTGGATGGGTTTGTTCTAGTTTGGGTTTTTTTTGTTTTGCATATGATAACACTGACTTAGGGAATGCTAAGGCTCATTCTTCTTTTTTTTAAAAAAAAACCAAAAAAACAAAAATCAGCCTTACTAACACAAGAAGTTGCAAAGTCAGTATCCCCTTCAGAATTATTCTAGGAATTTTGGTTTATAAAACTAGTCAGGAACTAAAATGTTAATCCAGTATGAATCTGAGGGTGTAACTTGTATGAGAAGAAAAATCCCTATGAAATCTAATTTATTCTATGAGACTTTTAAATTACTACAGTATTTTAGTTAATATGGCTTTTTTCTTCCAAGTTTGCATGCTACTTTGTTGTTAGTCTTTTCAATACTTTTACAATATGCATGTCAACATAGAGTAATACATCATGGTAAAAAAATAAAAATGATGAAGTATCTTGTTTCTTAAACGTGCTATAGAAGATACAATGTGATGTCTGTGAACTGGGATATAACATTTCATTGCTGACACTAGGCTGAGTAGTCCACGGGGGCTGCATGTTTTAAATGTGTTGAAGTGAAAACAAACTTTTATATCTGCCTAAGGGATGGATCAGAAATGCTACAGAAATGGTATACCACCTCTCATCTGTCCTTTTTTATATTAGAGAGAAGAATCTCGTAAGAAGCAAATCCAAGAACTGAATAACCAAAAAGCTGCAACTAAAATACAGGAGCTAGAGAAGGCAAAGCAAAATCTTGAGCTAGAACTACATTTCAATAAGAAGCGTTTAGAAATGGAGACCTTAGCTACCAAGCAGGTAATTTTAAAAAAAGCTTTTTGGTGATAAACTGTGGCTTGTTTGTGGTGATCCTTTTTTGTTGTTGTTTGTTTTGAATAAATAATTGTAAATTACATGTTACTGAAATATTTTTCTTCTATGTGATTTTATGCAAAAGAACAGATGTTTTGTTTACACTTTAAGTATGATATTGTATTAAATTTGGGGATAAACTAATGCTGACCTTATTTCTTATGTAACATGGACAGTTTTGTTCATCTACCAAACTTTAGTGACTATTGCCTGTGCCAGAAGTTATGACTTCAGGCATTAATGTAAGTAATGACTGGTTTTTGGCTGGTGTTCATATATATCTGACTGTTGCAAAAAATATAACTTAAAAACAAACAACTTCTTAAAAAATTAATTCCAGTATTTTTTTTAAGTGTAACAATATCTAAGCAAAACCAGAAAACTGTTGGAGTTTGGAGATTAAGGGTTTCGTATTGATATAGCAGATGTCCAATATAAATTTCATTCTGTCCTGAGAACCTTTAAAATGACAGCAACAAAAAAATTTTGCTTCCATAAACAACACTAAGAGCTTCAGATTTTTTATATTTTTTTCTCTCATCCCACTCACCAGGCTCTAGAAGATCATACTATTCATCATGCAAAGATACTTGAAGCTCTGGAAGCTGAGAAGCAGAAGATTGCTGAAGAAATACACACCCTTCAGAAGAATCGTGGAAGTGGGAATAAAACTATGACTGGTAAGTCTATACATAATGTTGCCACGGCAATACTGACTTCTTCAGTCGGTGGGCTTGGATTTAGTGGATGTGGATCCCAGAGTGTTTTCTCTTTCTTTAACACTTCTCTAACGATCCTGAAGGAGAAGAGCCTTTTGGCTGCTATGATCCTTTCTATTTAGAAGCTGTGTATTATCAGACTGTGCTAAGAGCTCTGTTATAGTCACAGTCAGGGTGGTTAAGTGGATATACGTGTAGTCTGTATTTACCCAAATTACTTAAAAGTCCTTCCCCCCATCTGACTGAGCTGGTTAGGTGTTAACTCATTGGGGAAACTGCAGTAACAGAATGGATTCTGTTTAGTTTCCTATCTCAGACTAATATATAATGTCAGGTGTTATGCCTCTATTTCTGAAATACCTTTTTCCTGACCTTTTATAAAGCGCTATTTTGGCTAGGAGGGTCATTTTTTCCCAATGTATTGGGAATTCACAGAACTGTTGTTGGCTAAATTCCATTGAAGTTTTTTGTTGTGGTTTCTTTTTTACCCCTGTTTTTTTGTTTGTTTTTGTTTAAACCCTGAAGTTGTTGCATCACATTGTTTGATCCACTTAATCATTATGTGCTATATTCTTTATTAGTTCCACTTAACTGGAATTCTCTGAAACTATCTGTGATGATCAAAGAGGCCAACACCATTAGCAGTGAATTAGGGAAAAACACGGTTTTCTACAGGTGAGTATCTGAGTTGGTTAATTATAAGGGGGTGTGTGTGTGTATATATATATATGTATATATATATATAAAAAAAAGTATGTGTAATTGGGGGGTGGATTCTGAATGTGCAGCGAGCTGTTTGTTTTTTCTTTTGACAGTTTTGTTAAATCGAACGTGATAAATCACTTTTCCAAACTAGCTTTAGTTAAATGTGTAGTTTAGCCTTGTTAGTTTGAAATGTGAATTTCAAATTTGAATTTTAGATCAAGGATTTTAAAGGTATATCTACAGATAATTAATTTGGGATTGAGCGTGCTGTAGAGGTGAATCTTCTGATGACCATGTCCATCTTGCTTTGGTTCACATATTCAAGTGGTCCCAAAGCACAAGCACTGCATTCTTTTTGGACAAAACTAACCTGGGGAATATGTGCCAGCTACTAGGAGGTGCTCAGTTCACAGGACCACAACAGAAGGTAGTTCAAAGTAAAAGCCTCAGAATATACGTACAGGGGATATTGAGTGTTTGCGACCCAGTTGTTTTGCTCCACAGATCTCTTGCTATGCTGTGCTACTTGTCAGTCATAGCTGAAAAGTGTTCTAGAAGTGGATCTGCATATTGGTTGGATGTTCTTAGTGTGAGCAGAGATATATTAGTGCAGAGGAAACTCTGCATAATTTTAGAAGAAATGCTACTGTAAATGCAGGCAAGCTAGGACTTTCTAGTAGGTGTATGTATTGCTGTGTTTTTCGGATGTTGTCTTTTCAAATCCTTCAAGAAGAACCCTGCTAGTAGGATTCTGTAGCATGTGTTTGGTTCTGAGTTTCTTGAGAGCCAGGAATTTGTATGCTAGCATCTACTTCTATCTCTGATGCAGGGATTTCTTTTTTCCTTTACATAAAAATAGTTTTAATGGGTACGCTAATGTGTGTGTGTGGGGGGGGTTTGAGATACATGATGTCTGAAGCAATTTCTGTGTTTGTAATCACATTTTTATTCTCTGTATAATACTAGTTACAAGTACCTTGTTTATCTTCACAGTGTGAATAATGTTCTTTATTTTTTTCTTTTATTTAAACTTTCTCAAATTCTTAGGCACGACAAAATTGATGATAAAACAGGAACAGTGTCTTCTGTTCAGGTGCAGGTTCGTAACATCAAACTGGGAATAGCAACTTTCTGGAGCCTAGAGAAATTTGAATGCAAACTAGCAGCAATGAAAGAACTCTATGAGGTCAGTAACAACTGAAAAAAACCCACTAATAATCAGTAATATTTTGTCAAATAAGATTTTGACAATCCATACAGGAGGAAAATCTTGGTTTTTTTTTTGGTTTTATGTGATCTTAGACACCAAGACACGTGACTTTTTTTTTTATTAAACATATGTACACGTTCTTGTCCATCACACAGAGCACAGTAAAAATCAATTGTTTTATTCAGGTCATTTTGTGTACGGAGTGGGAAGTAGTAAAACGAGGACTGCTTCCTGGTTCTTTTGGTTTGTTCAATTGTTTTTCTGTTCTAGAGGAAAACTTGACATTTTGAAGGTATCATTTGAATTTTCATTACTACATTTATCTATTTTTCTTTGGTTCTGGTAAGCTAATTTGCTACTTGTTGCTTTTGTCTGTATGTGCTTTAGGATTTTTCATGAGAGCTTTTAAAAGCATTTTTCATTTTTCTAATAAACTGACAATTAAGGTGTACATTAATTCCTCTTTCTAATTCTGCTGCTTTTAATTGGACCAATTGGATGTTTTTGTACTGCATCTCTCTAAATGTGCAGTACTTTGTTGCATATCATACTGTCTTCTGTATGAAAGAGGAGGATGTAAAATAGAAGAAAGGGAGAAGTGGAAACAGTGCCTACATTTGATTCTGTATCCCTAAAAAAACTATAACCATCAGGTAAAAATCTTTGTAATTATGTAAAGGTAGACAATGGTTCCAAACTATTTAATACAGATAAGATTACGATATCACCTCTTATTTGCAAGGAGCATGGTAATTTTTTTTTTCTCTCCTAAGGAGAGAAGCATAGTAAGAAATAGGTTTATCTTTATTGACTTCATGTGAACAGACAGTGTTTACATTGCGTTCCATTGCATTTTTTTGTTCTGTTTAAGAGCTGAAGACTTGAGAGGCCTAAGAACTACTTGGAAAAACAAACTAACAAAATCTCTCGGATCTGATGGCCCTTAAAAGTACTTTCCTTTTTAGTGGTGATAAAATATTCTGGGATTTTCCAATCTCCAGGGCTCATCCCTGTGTTTTATTTGTTTTTTGGTCTCTGCCATATACTTTGAAAGTTGGTTTAGACTGCAGTGAAATAACGAAAGATAAAGGAAGGGAAGTTCTTGGAGATCAGAAAGAACTGCCTAACACGAAGGAAGGATCCCAAGCAATCCAGTAGAACCATAATGATCTTGTATTATATGCTATATATACTCGTTCTGAGTGGGTTTCTTATTAATACACAAAAGAAAAATACATATTTAAGACCAAGTTTTAAATTAAGAGAACAGCTTGTCTAAATTTGTCCTGTGCTTGAATTTGTGATTCTCCTGATCATACAAATTCTTTTCATTCCAATATCTGTACTATGTTTAGCCTGGAGCAGTATTGAAAAATGAGTAGAAATTGCTTCAGATAGCAAGCATCCAAATATTTATTTATTATTTCTGAATGCAAATCACATTCTGGCATATATAGCATACCTGAAGTTTGCAGAGGAAGAAATCTCAACTGTTGGAGCACTGAAGGCGCTGGTAGGGAAAAATATGAAGGCTTTTTACACTTCAGAACACTCTTTTTTCTACCTTAGAAAATAATTAGCTTTTATTAAAGAATTATTTTTTATTTGAAAGAATAAGTTCTTGATATATGAGTCTTTATCTGAAACAAAAATCTTTCAATATTATATCCAAAAAGGAAACAATTCATCAAAGAAAAGCCAGAAAAAAATTGAGGAACACTCCTTTATGATATAACTTAACATATGAGTATTTCCAGTGATGGAAAAATATTGCCGTATTTATTGCTAAATACTGGATCTTAACAATATGAGAGCCTGGATCCTATTCCTTGCAGAAAACTCTTGCTGAAACTGCACACAAATCCAATAATAAAAATAAATAAAAATTGTAAACTATATGCCCAGGGTTTTAATAAATCTGGCACGTGGAGAGAGCTGTGGAAAAGTTTTGTACTTGGTGTTCCTGTACCTCAGGTACTGGGTACCTCACCTAGCTGGGTAGCTAGATGTTTTCACTAAATGTTTGTCTTGTTTTAGTTTGTTTTCAAACACTTACACCTCAAGTTGTCTGTCAGTCAGTTATCTTCTAGATTATATGTATCCTAACAAAAGAAAAAAACATTAAAACTACTGTTCTACTGTTAGTAGAACATGTTGTCTTCATCCATACGTTGAATGCTTTATTATCACTCTGCTTCTGTTTAACTCTCCTCCTCCCCTGTGTTTTCTTTATTTTTTCAGAGTAAGGATAGCAATAAAGCTGCTGATGTATTTTATGACCCTGCTGATGAGTGGGAACCTGACCTTTCAGATGCATCAGTTTCCTCTCTTTCCAGAAGAAGGTGATACTAATTTGTAGCTCCTTCATCTACACTCAAAACAAAGCAAAAAACAATTTGTGTCATTATCTAAACATGCTTCTGTGCCATTAACATAGTCTCTTATTTATTAATTCTTTTTTCTTATTATAATGTCAAACTTGCACATTAAACGAAAATTTATGTATGTATCTGTGAGCAGAGGGGAAAGTTTAAACTAAATATGTTGCCTTACTGACTTCACTTATGAAATGTGTGTTAGTATGCAAAATATTGCTAATAAAAATTGCATGCCCACTAAAGCAGTTTGGCAGATTAAACAGCAATATTTCTGAGGTCAGGCGTAGCATATATGCAATGTATGTGTGATCAGTGCCAGCGGGTTTTATGTATGACCATTGACAACTAGCTGGAGGTCATTAAAGGCTGTTCCCAATTATTTCAAAAAGCTATCTCGGAAATTGATACATTTGTCTGTAGCACAGGACTTTTAATTAACCTGCAGAGGACCCACAGGTTAAGGTTATAGATACCCACATATTTAATTAATAACACAAGCAATTTTAAATAGACACTTGGACATCTGTTCCCATCCTTACTTATCCTATACGCTGTGCCAACTGATGAGTTCTTCTCTTCTGTTCATTCATTCTCTTATCTTTCCTCATGGACAAGAAATAGGAACAAAAGTTCCCCCAAACCCAGATGTGTATTTTATCAAAACATATGTAAGGCTTTCTAAACCATGTATCTAGATATCATCAGTGCAGAGTGAAATGTGTAATTTTTAATGTTTTCTTCACACTTCTATAACATAAAAACATTCTTTTTAAGAAATAAATTGCAGCTGGTCTGGGACCCATTTGAAGTTTTAGCCTTGTAACAATATTTATAACTGACTTGCAAACTTCTGCAAGTTGTAGCTTATAATGGAAATGCTAACAGACCCTTAGTTACAACTTTGATAGTGGGTAGCAACCCATATGATGATTGTTGTTCTGCTGTAAAGCAGGTCAGTTTATCTGACTGTAAATTTTGGAAAGCATTCCTGACAATTCCAAGTAAACAAAAGTTATCTGAAAAGAATGCAATGGATAAACAGTTTCTTTATTTTTAGTCCAAATACTGTTTTAATGCTACAATAATGTTGGAATACTTTTCTTTGTCTAAGGCTGCCTTCTGGACATCATTATAATGTGTGTTCTTGAATCTCAGAAGTGTATTTGGTTTTGCTCTGCCTATTTTAAAGATTCAACAATAGAACCTGAACTGAACAAGAAAAAGTACTAGAAAAGGCAAATTGGCATTGTACGCTGCATTGACAGCAGTTAACTGATGTCAGTCACACGTACTGATGAAATAAATTGAATTCCATGTGCTACTTAAAGATTTGGTGCTCCTGATGTGTAGTGTAGAGCATAAAGGATGGGCTGTTCCAAAAGGGAAGGACAGCTTGAGGCTGAAGTGACAAGACGGTAGACAGGGCACTGCCCTTGCCAAAAAGGGCCTAGCCTTGCGGCGCCAGAGGGAGGTGAGCAGAGTAGGTCTGGCAATGGTAACCAGGGTCAGCCAACAGTCTAGATCTACAGGTAAGTATGTAATGTTGAGGCAGGGCTGAGGTTAAGCTGGGAAATTGGCTCAGCAAGTCAGGATTAGGTCCAGGGACAGTTGGCAGGGTCAGCCTGCAGTCCAGTGGCCTTTGTGACAAGGTCCCAGGTCAAACTGGGAAGTCAAGTCTGCAGGTCCAGATCAATGGTGTACATGGCCAGGCACAGGCATGGTTACAACAAAACTGCAACGTAAGTCAGGCAGGACCAAAGGCAGGAGACTCATCTTAAATGCAGCTCCAAGAAAACGTGAGAAGCCCCTGCTGAGTCTCCTTCCAGCTGTGTCTTTAACAGCTTCAAGGATGGCTGAGGTTTCTCAAATAGCTCTCTTGTCAAGAGCTGGCCTTAGGCACCAGCAGCTAAGCACACGGGGCCAGGCCAGAGAAGCTAAGTTGGCTTGTCTCCACTGCCAGTGAGAACTTCACAGAACATCTGCCTCTATCAAGAAAAAAAACCCCACAACTCTTCTATCTGGTTTTCCAAAAGCAATTCATTCTGTCCAGCAAACAAGACCAAAAAAAGCCAACATGTCTGCTTTCTATAGTTGAAGTAGGTAGGAAAAAAATGTGTTTTGTCTCAAACTCTAGATAATAATAATGCAGTAATAAACTAGTAGCTTAAAAATGGAAATGTGGAATGAATATAGTAGCAAGAGCCTGAAGAAAGTAAGTGGGATCCATCCTATGGGCTGTATTGTCTTGCTTTCATTGTGGTTTAAGTTCTGTGTTAACAAGTTCTATTAATTAAAAGTAGGTGTTTGTTTTGTTTGTCTGGTGTCTGTTAATATTGAACTTTCAGTGCATACTGGGAGAGAGATTCTTTAAGGTGTTTTCACTCTCTCATCCTTTCTTAGAAGCAGAAGTTTCATGAAGAACAAGAGAATTTCCGGATGTTTGTCTGAGATGATAAAATTGCAACAAATTCAGAATATACAGACTTCCTATGTATCAGGTACTTTCTATATGGCAGAACACCTTTCATTTCATACTAAGAACTTGAAACTACTATGTGTATAAAACGCATACACTTCCAATAGTTGTTTAAAAAAAAAGGTGTGAGTTGGAAATCAAAATGAAAAATGTCTTGTTTATAATGTCAAGCTGTGAACAACAGGATTTTTTTTGTATTTTTGACTGTGCTTTCTTAGGGCAAAAACTTCCTGACCAGCACTTATGACCCTTAATTAAGAAATTTACCTAAAATGTTACTCTGCCTAACGATGTAGGTTAACTGGAGAAAGGTGATTGTTCATGTAACAAATTGCCAGGGGCTGAATCCTCATGTAATCATTCGGATACTTTGTTTGCTCAAGTTGTTCCTATTTATTCAACTACTGATGTTCCCCCAAGCTTCTTGTCACGCTTTATAAACTTTTTTTTCTGAAATACTAGATACTTCAGTCTTCCAAATATTTTTAAGCATTCTGTTATTTTTAGATTGGCTGGGTTTCATTATATTCTCTCTGTCTGTAGGTTTGACTGTTGAAACAGATGGATTCATGTTAAAAAATTTCACTATTGAATTTGTCTTTGTACTAACTGAATCTAGAAACTATTCAGAATGTTGTATACACATTTTTTCTGATTTGCTATCTTTAGTTGAACATTGCTGAAGAGATAATATAAAATAGTCATCACAAAGACACACTGAGTGCTCACTCCTATGAAGAGTTTATTGCATATGTTTTGCTTTTGCATCATACAGGTTCACAGAATAAGTCCAGCATATGCCCAAGCTTTTCTGAATCATTACTTCCTGGAATTTGCAAAGAATCTTTAAGTTCAGCTTTAGATTTACTGGAACGGAATCACGAAGGAGGAAAGAGCATAGCAGATAGTCTCCTAACTAATTTGTTTATCATTTTCTCTGGAGTGTCTGCCATTTCAAAAGCCTACGAACAGCAAGATGAAGAATGTCAAGAAAACTGTAAGTCTCATTTTCATAACAGTTTAAACATTACAAATGAATTGTCTTTCAGATGCGCAAGCATTCATATGTTTGCCTATCAGAAGAACTAACATTCCTACTTTCATTTGTAAAGGAGACTTTCTGATAGATCTCTGTCTCTTGCAGTTTTCTCTCTTGATCATGCTGCTCAGTCCTACAGCATCAGAATTATTTCTGCTTTTGACCAGCTCGTGGTTCTAACCAAGCTCTGGCTTAACAATGTCCAAAAGTGCCCTGGATCTATAAAAGCTGATGAAGAAATAAAACAGGAAGTAAAGAACTTAGGAGGTTATTTACAGTTACTATTGCAGGTAAAGTATGTTAAAGAATTCATCTGTGTGTAGAGAAGTTCTATGCATTAATACAATATTTACTACAGATTTGCTAAAAACACTTAAATGTCCAACGTATGCGATGACAAATGGACACGTCTAAGGAAGATGAACAGCAAAGGGTGCACTTTTGCTGGCTAAACTGGTACTTCCATGTGCTAGTTCAGAGTAATGCAGACCTTTATGTGCCCAGGCCCTGACAATAGAATAAGTTCATGCTACAGCTTTGTGAAGAGTAATTTTTTTTTTTTAACTGTAGTATAATGATACCATTCTTGTCTGTGGTTGCAAGGTGTGGTCTTTTAGCTGTGGTAGATAAGACGTTGGAAGTAGGAAGATGTAAAGCTGAAAATGCCTCAAGCTATTGTGCACTGCAAATTCTTGTATTATAGAAAGCATGCGCTCTTTGATGAGAGACACTTTTTAGCTTTAGTGAATGATATGCCTTTTTTTCCTCAGGGTTGTTCTTCAGATATATCCTCTATGGTAACAGAAGCATGGCGCAAAATAAACCAAACGGTAAAACGAACAATGAAATACATAGGGCACTTGGCAGTAGTCACAAGAACTGATATTTCATTTTCTGAAGAGAACAACATTCCTGCAACTAGTCTACAGGTGAAAAAATGTTTATTAGAAATAGCAGTTTTAATGTTGACATCACGTTTTCAGTAACTGTGCTCAGAAGCAAACTGTTACGTATAACAATTTGATCAACTGAATGAAGTATTTTCAGAGTTTATCTAATACTTCGTTTTTATGATGAAAATAGATGTCTGTTAATACCCTTGAAAATTTTTTTCCTTTAAAAAGACACACTTTAAATCTGTATAACTTCCACCTATAAAGAGAAAGAAATACTGTGCTTTTAGGTTTGTATCTGCATTGAGATTGTACAAGTCTACCTGTTTCACTGAAATTCAATACTTATTTCAGTAATCTGTGATTAAGTACCACATTGAATTTTCAGAAATCTGAAGAAAGGTAGGAAAAGGAGGTAAAAGTGCTGAGCCCATGTGGTCCAAGAGTGACATGTGACTGAACAGACCAGCACTGAACAGTTTGCTCAGAATTAAGTTTCTAGCCCACTGCAGATAATCTGTTTTAATTCAAGATCACATCAATTCCTTTAATGATTATGTTTTGAACCTTCTTCTTTTAAAAGGACTTTGTACTTGCTGTTTATGATGGAGTAGGCTCAGGGCTGGAGTTTCTCGTTGATACTGTACAGGAAAAAGCAAGAATGGTGCAGAAAGAAATCATGAAACGATATTCACAAAATGAGGTGAGATGAAAGTAAAATTAAAACCCAGTATTATATCTTAGAGGCACTTGATTGTGCCCTGCTATTGTTTCAGCAATTCTGTCTAGAAATTTTACAGTAGGAACACCGTTATGATTATTAGCAGAGGTTTGAGATGGGTGGTAAGTGGGAATATTGACTACAGTCTTGCAGAAATTTTTATGGTGTTTAGCCTTTCACCCATATGTAGACTGAACATTTAAGTGTATTTTATTTAGAACAGTTTCTCTGTGCATTGGAGAGCATTTTGTATAAAATTTCACAGTCTAACCATGGAAGAGAGGGAGAGTATGAAAACTGGCACAAAGAAGCAAGGGGACCTTTTATTCTGTATACTACTGTTAAGCTTGATTTGTAAAAAGATTGAGTATTTAGTATGTAGTAACACTTGATGATCCTCAAAGTTAATTGTTATTTTATATTGATAATGGTAGTCACCTCTACTGTTACTACACTCACTGTTATTGTCAGGAAGATTATTAGAAAGTTTGAAGATTTCATTTTGTCATATACTATTCTTACAGTCCTAGTCCCAAACAGCATGCTATCTAAATATTAAAATAGTTTAGTCTTATCTTTTAAGAGCTAGTCTTATGTGATTAATGCTTGGGGTACACTGAAGCACTTTCATGAATTGGGCACTTTATAGGGAAATTGGTTGACTAAAGTAGCTCTTTAATAGCACAGAAGTCAGAAACATCCTGCTTGATTTTCTCTCATTTGCTGAAGTCACAGCTGACCTTCAAATACTTTCCAGGTTGATAAGCGGCAGTGGTATTTTAATTTGAGCAACTTCTTTATAACACTTCATAGGAAAGTTACAACAGATTATTGATATTCTATTAATGAGTTGCTCTTGTAATAACAAAAGGGATTACATCAATGGGAAGATTTTATCTCTCATAGTAAGAGCTCAATTTAATTATTCATGTAACTTTAAGAAGACATATTCCTGCAACCTCATAATAAACAGATGTGTGCTTACTTTTGTTTCCCCTTTCCCATAGACAGCAGTTTAGCAGTTATATTTTATCAAACTGAATAGGTTTGGGTTTTTTTCAGTATGCTGAAGTCAGAATCTTCTGGGAGGGAGTTGCTCTTTCATGAAACAAACATACTATTATTGGTGTGTCTCCTGTATTTTGACACTTAAAAGACAAACAGACCTCATTACATGCTGAATTCAGTAATGGGTTGATTGTGGTTTTTTGCATGGAGGGGCTTTCTTAAGCAACAGCCTGTTATTTTGTACTTTTATTTTGCTTAGGTGACAAATTGTGAGGAAAATGATAGGGAGCTATGTAACATAGAGAATAAAGTATAAGGAATAAGCACCATAGTTAAAATATTTCTGTGACTGTATGAAAACTTCAGTAGGCAAGTTAGAGTGCCCCTTGGAAATATGCCACTTTCTTAGTGGGTGAGCCATTTTGACAGAAAATTCCTGTCTGAATTCCGAGGAAATGCTTTGGAAAGATTGAAATGCCCTTCAGCAAGTTGTACTAGGTGTATATGGTGCACATGCTTCCTTTCGTTTTTGGGATATATAGGCTTGTTCTGCCACTTTTCCTCTGAATAAATATGTTCTTGTACAGACAGCATGCAAGGCCAAAGGTGACAGTTAACCTGTGTCTGAGCAATCCTGTCTTCTGCCTCATGTGTTCTTTATTTTTGTTCTTTTTCTTCGAAGTTGAGAAATTTGCAGAACTCTGGCAAATAAAATCTCCTTAATGAGCTGGGATATATAAAATACTTATTTCTGAAGAATTTGTTACTACTGAAAAATTTGTAATACATGACCTGAGATAAAAGGTGCAAATCAGTTGGATAAACTTCTTGTCTCAAGGAAAGCAAAAATTTCTTTGTAGTCTGGTTTTCATTGTTGTCATTCTTAATCCTACAAATAATAATGAAACTGTGCAAAATCTTTTGTTTCTGTCTGCTTGCTTAGCTCCTGGATACTTCATGTTTCCAGCAAAAGGAATTCAGCAGTCTGCTTTCCAGATAATGCTGTTCACTTGCAGCAGATTCCCATGTATCTGCAGGATTCCTATATATTGTCGCTGGTGGAACTAATGTCAAGTTGGGGAGAGAACACCAAAGTATTAACTAAGAGATTACCTCTGCCACCTAGAATGGCAGCGATCCAAAAATTACAGGACAACCTTTCTTCAGCAAATACTTAAATTTGCTTACTAGATCCTCCTGTATTTAGGGGGTTATTTAAAACCTTGCAGATATAGTTGTCAACTGGTAGAAAACAACATTAATTTATTTGAAAAACTGCGTGTTATGTTGCAGAAAACATTACTTCTGCTTTTGAGTATTTTTTCTCATTAGTATGCCAGTGTTGTTATCCTTCTAAAATATTAATGTACTTTACTTTGTCTTGAATCAAATGTGCAATATAATTAAAAGTTTCTTTCTAGATTCAAAATCGAATAAAGGATAATGTTGTGGCATTAGCCAGATTCCTCGAAAATAACATCTCTTATTGCAGAAAGGTAAGAGAAGTGTTTCACAAAATGTGTGCTTTGAGTCTGGGGTTTAAATTTGAAAGATGCATTTAACAAAGAAGGGGAATTGAAACTACCTTCTGTGTATTTACAATTGCATGATAACACTTTCTGTCACAGTGGCATTCTTGTGATTGGAACACTAACTTTTCTGGCTACTGCATTTCCACTCAAAACTACTTGATTTTAATTTTACTTCCAGTATTTCTGGAGGTATTTGTCTTGTCTTCCTTCTATTGATGCTTACCATGAAAGAAAACAAAACAGGCTGTTTAAGTTGAAAGCCTCAAGTTCAGTAACACTGTTTATAACTACTGCAATACATTTTAGCTATAGTTACCGGTATTTTGAATTAAAACCCAGGATAGATGATTTAATCTATCTTCCAAGAGCCAAACCTCTTCTGGATTTTACAGTTCTATTTGCCTTTTCTTTTCCTGTCAACTTTCTGCGCTTCTTTTCAGAGCTATCTTATGTTTTGTGACTTGGTATCGCTTTCATTTTGTGTTTCAGCATTGGCCTGGCTTAGGTGACTGGCTCCATAATAGGCATCTTTAATAGTTAATATGCTGTCATATATTTGGTTCTCTTTAAATTACTCTTTATTAACACAGAAAGAAATAGAATGTCAATTACCAGAAGAAGAATTTCTGTATCAGGAAATAAAGAAAAGCACTAACATTGCTGTGAAATATTTGGAATTGGAGCAGTGCCTAGCTGAAGTCTGTCAAATCGTTTCTTCTACATTACAAGGTATTTAGCTGGGTTATGCCTTGTCTTGGTAGTAATCTGTGGACTACAGGAGACCCGTAAAGCAAGAAGGAGGGAGGGCTACTTGGTCTCTCTTTGCAAAATGCTGCATTTGATTCTTCATGCTTTTGTTTTTTATAGGGTCATACAGAAACACAAGCACTCTCAGGAGCTTTGCAGAAAAGATTTGTGTCATAGCTGGATATTTTAACAACTATTTCAGTTTGTTTGCCTTTTCTTCTGCAAACAATCCTATCCAGAAAATATCCATGCCTTTTATGAACTTGGATGAATTGGACTTTCTGGTTGATTCCCTTATTATGAATTTTGAACTTGAACAAGGACAGCCATCACTGAAATCTCAAGCTCTTTGTAATGAAATTACTGAGACTCGAGGAGGACAAGTTGAAACAGGTGAAGCTGAATTTTCGTGGAAAGGGAAGGGGATTCCAAAATGCACACACAAACTCCAGTCTTCGCCTCCGTTTCCTGCAGAGCTTTCATCTGGTAGGATACAGTGGGTATAAAATGCTATTATCAAGAAATTCAGGGAAACTTTCCCTTTACATGAAGGGAAAGCAACATATTGCAAAAACCTACAATTTTATTGCTAATATTATTAGTAAGTGCTATGAAAGTAAATGACATGATTATATGAGGATAAGTACCCTAAATTTCACAAGAAAAAATGGAATTTCTTAAGGGGCTGTTAAAGCTTAAAACATAATGCCTTTTGTTTTAATAAAAGTCTATTATTACCCAAGCCTATAAGAGATGTTTTTGGTTTTGTTTTGTTTTGTTTTTTTTTTTACTTACTGTGTTAAATTATTTATTGGAGATAATATGAATGGAGAAACTAAAAACTGTTGGGGAATAACTAGGAAATGCAGTAAATGCTTGGTAGGACATTCATATATCTTCATCTTAAACCTTTGACTTAAAACACTTGTGTAACAGTGGAAGGAGATTCCTTTGAAGGGCATTTGTAACATAAATGTTATGTTGCATACAGTTAGATAAGAAGATTGCATTCCTATCTTAGACACTTGAAAGGTAGATGATGTGGGTACCAATTTTTTTTTGTTAATTTTGCTTCATCTCTGCTGTATTATGATCTAGTAGTCCTACTGCAACTTCAAAGTGATTTTTATGCCTTTCATTTGTTTAAATGTCATTCAGAAAACTGGTCTATTTCTACTTCTGTAAATGTATTTTGTATTTGGCTGAAACTTTTAAAAACATAACTAGTTCTTCTGAATCGTGTACCTAAGCATGAGCATTGTAAAGAGTAAAACTAGATCATGTAACTGATCACCAATTTTTAGAACTTCAGGTGTAAATTCCTTGTCAGTTTTCTTCCGTATGCAGTTGTTTGAGACCTTCCTTTGTCACTGAGTACTGCTTCCTTGCTGAAAGTATTGTAGTATAAAAATCTGAAATACTAGTAAGAGGTGTTTTCTGTGGCTCTCAAGTGAAACAAAACAAAAGAAGACTTCTTTACCTATGTTTTTTTCCTCTCTTAAGACACTTACCTCATGAACTAATCTACACCTATTAATGTCAGAATACTCAATCTCTTCCAATTTCTGCTAACATATGTAATGGTGTTATGTCAAGCTCCCATTGCAAAATTACATTCAATTGTGTTACTGATGTTCCGCCTGCCCAGATGATTAATCATGTTTGTTTTTGCTCTTGTATTTAATGAGAAGCATTGCTCAGAAAACATATTTGGTTTTGCAGTTCTGTGTGGTGTTATGAGAATTTTTTTTGTTTGTTTTTTTTTTTCTTCCTAAAACTGAAAGACAAGTTCTTCACAAACTTGGAGCTCAAACTCAATTTCAGTTTTTACCCTTTCTGAAACTCAGGAGAAAGAAACCATGCAAGCAAATGGGTTTCAGATAAAGTTTTAACTGAGATATTGGATGGGCAACCTTAATCATATCATATTTAGCTTTTGCAAGATGAGTGAAAATGTTGCCAATAGCTCCCTGCTGCTAGTTTCTGTGGGGTTTGTTTTGTGTTGTTTTTTTTCCCCCTCCATGCTAACCAACCATGTCTAATCAGTCAACTAATCAGTCTTATCTTATTCACACTTTTAACACTATATTCACATTTTAGAGTAATATGTTAACAAAACTGACTTTTGCTAGTGTTTTCTTTAGCTTGGTGCCCTTGTTACAGTTATTGAAGTACTTCATTCTTAAGAGATATATGGTGACGATACATCATTGGAGTGAGCCTAGTGCTTTCATAACATACTGCATTAATACATCAACAAGCCTAGCTGAGGCTCCAGTAATCTATTGGTGTAATATACCATAAGGTAAGGTATATTTATAACTATAGGCTAGTCTATCTATAAACTATGAATGTCAGGGAATTGGGATTATAGCAGGCAGATTTTGGGATGGATTGATTTGAATGGTACGTTATTTTACTATTTCCAAGGAGGTTGAGGTAGGTGTGGATTAGGCTCAGGTCAGCAGAGGAATTGACATGGCTGAACACAGTATCCTCATCACCTGCTAGGTATAGCAGTGAAAAAGCAGACCCTAATATTGCTGAAATAAAGGGCTGTGCAGTACAGTCCAGATATTTTCACCGTCTTGCATTTTTGCAGATCTGACGGTAAAGTCTGGCTTTGGATAGCTTCTGGCAGATAGTGGTAATACACAGAAGGTTCTTCTTATGATAATACCTTTGGAGTTTCTTCTAAACCATGAACTAAAGCAGACACAAAACCAGTGCAATTTAAGTGGAGTTTTTACTTTAGGATGTCACAAAGTTAATTACTTTAGCAGGAATATATATTGGTGTTGTAAATTTCTCTGCTGAGGGAATTGAGATGGGAGTGGGATCACAACCAGTATTTCTTAAAACACTTTTTATTAATTAAATGTTAATAGAATTAAGATGTTTACTTCCATCAGATAACTGTTCATACAGTACATTCACTTACTCCTTCACACTTCACTTGCACCCACACATAAATATCACTTGTTGCTCCAATGTTGTAGCTATAACTGTGAGCTTCTGACTCTTGAAGTGGAGGCTCACGTTGGCTTACCTGTGAGACTCTGACGTGCTGTACCCCTCAGCATGCATGCTTTCTCTCTTTGGCTAATGTTCTGTAGTTACTATTTCTCCATCTGCAGCCATAGGTACTAATAGAGCTCACTCACACATGCTGGCAGAGATGGGACTTTTATAGCTTTGGCTGAAACTTCATTGCTATAGTAGCTGATGTCATGCTTCTGCTAAGAGCATTAAATTTGGTCTTGAAAGGTTTTCTCTGGGGTTCTTAAACCTACAATCTTCATCTTTGTGTTGCAGAAAGAAAAGTTGAGTGAATAGTCAGGAACATGCATGGGGGGAGTAGGAAAGGTTATGAAGAAATGTTTAGAGACTTGAATGGGATGTATTGTTTACTGAAGTTATGATGGCTTTGTTATATATATTGATGTAATCTAGCTTGTGGGTTGTTTGTGTTGGTTTTGTGTTTTGGGGTTGGTTTTTTTTGGTTGGTTGTTTCCTTTAATGTGCTCTCTTATTCCCTCAGGAAAACATTATTCAATCAGATTTCAGGTAAAAAGTACTTAGAACTTTATGTACTTGACCCATGGATTTTATTGACTACCATGAAAGAAAAAAAGGGGGGGGGCTTTGATTATAATTATAAAGTGGGGAGGTGGGGTATTCTTATTTCTGCACCATACTTTCATTTGGAAATATGAAACTAAGAAAAAATCTAACTAATGAAATAAATTCTGTCCATAACAGAAGTCACATAAGTTAATAAGAAGTATTTCTTCAGTTCAATACTTTATTTAAAAAATAGTACTACATAAAATACATAATGATTCTGAGAGTATTGATCTGCTACTTTACTGCTTTTTGCAACTCGGCCTCTAGTTTTATTTGTTTAATTGTAGGAAAATAAGATTAAAACTACACATTTTAACATCATCCAGCATTATACACAAGGTAAACTGCACAAAAATATCATGTAAACTGATTTTTGTTGTGGAAATTGGTAAAGCCATGGGAGTCAAACTAACTATGATTAGGCACTAAACTGTTCATTTTTATCCCTAACCAGGAATAAGAAACATCTTTATTTCAGGTAAGATAGTATTCCTAGGAAGAAGTGTATCTTCAGAATATGAATGCTGGATTACTTGAGAATCCTTCAAACAATACTTGCCCATCTTTATTGAGACATGTTGTATGTAAACGCACTTTTAGAAAAAAAGCAAATTCTAGCTATGCTTTTTTTTAAAGAACATGTGCCAGTGTTAGAAATCAAGGGTAAGCAAACTCTTCTAGCTTTCACTGACTCATAAGAATACTCTAGAAACAAGCCGCAGTTTAGATTTAATTTGATCCAGTAATGGCATCTGCAGGCAGAAGAGGAGACTACATCTGATTATGTCTGCAAATACAAACTATTATTTTTGGACAGGAAATTCCTTCTCATTCTTTGTATGATCTAACATACTGTGATTAGATAGATGAGTCCTGGTGCTTTTGTATGTTTTGCAACTCTTCTGATTTCATTGTAAACTGAGTGTTGGGTGTTTGTTTTTGTTTGGGTGTGGTTTTGGTTTTGGTGTGTGGTGTGGTTTTTTTTGTTGTTGTTTTGTGTGGGTTTTTTTTGTTTTGTTTTGGTTTTTAATATTATTATTTTAAGACAGCATTTTAATATTTTGTTTTGTTTTGGTTTTTAATATTATTTTAAGACAGCATTTTAATTCCCTTCCTAGCTTTTGGTAGGATCTGAGATTGTTTATGCATTTTCCCAAGGAAAGGCTATTTGCTTTTTTAAGTCCTAATACTTTTTTTCTGTAATAAAAAAATATTTGTCATATTTTCTTTATTTTCTGCTCTTTTTAGGACTTGGAATCAGTATATGTAACAAGATTTGGTTACTCTTGAATTTTTTTTTTTCCCCTGCTCTCTCTTTTGTTGGTTTGCTCCTATCTTAGTATGTTTATGCTCATGATAGTACTGTTTTCTAGAATAGGAGATGGTGTATATAATCTAATGAACATTCATATAATTTGATTGTTGCAGTGAAAACAGGACAAAACTGAGAAAGAGGTCTCTTGAGCTAACATTTCATCAACAGCAAGCACCATAGACCAACATAAAAAATTATTCAGGTATCTTTCAATCTGAGTTAATTTTTAATACCTCTATTAATTAAAGTAAGTCCAAGTAAATTGTAATCGGAAAGATTTAGGAAGAATTGAGGGGAAAGGAAGGAAAGTATCAGAAAAACACATGGTAATCATCTGTATTTAAAAAAAACACAAACAAAAAACCCCAAGCTGCCACCGCCCCCCCATATTCATATTCACATAGAGTTAAACTATACTCGATGTCTTCATGCAGATTCCTTAAGCCTATTGCAAGTGTTACTTGATTAATCTTTATGCAACTCTGGTAGCTTAATAACAAATACTTTGTTTATACTGGTATATGCTATTGTCTGAATAGTTCAATTTTCTTTCTTATATAGGTA